TTTAAATCCCTATACTTGCCTACAGAGTTAGGCAGCAGCTGAGCAGGGGTTTTGTTAGTGCCAGTGGCACCTAAATGTTGGGCCTGAAGGGCCGGTTAGGCACCTAAGGAGCTAGATTCACAAAGTGACTTGTCTTGTTTGTTCTGCACCTTGTACTTTATGGCCCTGCTTCTGGTAGAGAGGCTGCTGGGGTGATAACCGCCTCTGAACAATGGGTAATGATAAACGGCAAGATATCAAGTTGCGGGCTGGTATCCACTGGGATTCTGTAAACTACATTGATCCAGGCAGGCCATCTTGTGGAACAATCTCACTAATCTGAAAGAGGTGCATAAAGAGCATATCAGCAAAGTTGAGCAATAACACTACATTGGGTAGTGTTCAGAGACCAGTCGGGGCAGAGAAATAACACAGAGGCTTATGGAGAATAAAGGCAGGAAGGGGCTGGTTTTTAAAGGTATTTAGATGCCTAAAGATTCAGATAGGTTCCGAATGTGACTTCTCCCCTCACCCCCTCCCAGGGAGAAACCAGTGACCAGTCATGCTGAGAAAGACCTAGGAATCCTAGTGGATGATGGCAGAGCTGTTGATAAGCCAACACAAACATTATGTATTGGCTTTTATATGAACCATGGCTCAATATGTAGCTTCTGAGGGGAGGTCACAATGACACAGTGTTTGTTAAAATAAAGACAAGGATGATATGGGGAACAAAGGGATGAAGTGACCTTCCCTCCCTCCAATCTAACTCACCTCTGGCCTCCATAAACAAGATAGGGTGGCCGTTGTAAAATGACAGATTGCTCTTTCTCAAAGGCGAGAAGAGACTGGAAAGCAGGGCTTTTTTGGCTAATTAGAAAGATATCTCCAAGGCTGCTTTGTGTTGGTCACATTGAGTTTAGTAATAAACCTTCTTAACTTATATCCCAGTAACTAAGATAAAGATAAATTTCTCCCCCAATGCAGTGAAGCCAGAGAACTCTAAAGCTTTGTCATAGCATTGTACTCTGCAAGAGACTGAGACTTCCCTGGTATTGATAAATACTCAATGCTGTCTTTGTCTTCCACGGCCTGTCTTTAGGGCCTACTTAGTGCATGCCCACCCACTGAAAGCACTATGGTTGCAGATGAGGGCCTTTAGGCACTGGGAAGGTTTAATTGATCTTGTGCTGCACTCCAGTGCTCCCAGGTGAAACACTATTTGAAAAATATTACTAAACTTGCCTTGTCCCATTCAGTCTTGACAAACAGCTGCAGAGTCTGTCTGTGTATACCCAGAAGTGGCTGCAGAGAGAGGCCCAGCATGTAGTCTGTTCCCTCCCCTGAAGGACGTTTATTTCAGGGCATGTGTTGGTATAGACAAGACAAAACCCTTCATAGTCACTAGAACTCAGAGTGAGGACACTTGGCCATTTAAATAGCCCCCTTCTTCCTCTGTGGACACTACTGTCATGTGTCATGTCTGTCACCAAGCAGAGCCTGGCCTCCTTTCTATCCTACCAAGGCCAGGGTTGACTTATAACTCCCTTCTCTGCTACCAGCGTCCTTTCCTCTCCCCCCTGCTCATCCGATAGTTCATCCTCTGCTGTTTTCCTGTTGTGACAGTTGCAGATTCCTCCCTCTCTCCTCCATTTCATCCCACGTGATCTTCCTTTCTGGCTGTTCTTACCATGTATCCTCCTCCTTGAATCTCTGCACTGACTTTCCCACTAAACCCAAGCTTCCCCTTCTTGTCTCTAGCCCTGCTTACCTAAAGAAGCTGGTATTTCCACCTTCCCCTGCAGTCCCTGCACCTCACCCAGTATTTTCTTCTGCCCACTGCCTTGTCCTCAGATCCATCGCTGGAGGCCATTGCGCTAGAAGAGGTGGGGAACAATCATGTGCTAGTACCAGGGAGCTGGATTAGATGGTCCCTAATAGTGTCTCTTCCAGTCCTAAGTGTTAGTTAATCTCCTTCACCGGGCCCATGCTGCCCCCATGGCTGGCACTGTCTCCCCGTGAATGTAGTTAGAGAAAAGGCTTGGAGAGGTACATTGTGCTGCCATCTCCTGAAACCCCACCTATTACACCCCAGCAGGTCATTCTGCTGCCCTGGCTGCTTCATGCTGCCCTGCACTCGTAACGCACACACCTCGTGGGTGTGGTGTTCTGTCCCATCTAGTGGCACTTGGACCACTTAGAGTTTAATGAGTTTGCTCTACAGCCTTAGCTAACAGCCATATGTTTTTTAGCTTGTGGTAGAGGCTCATACACTGAGCTCCAGAGGTCCCAGGTTCAATCCCGCCCGCCGACACTTGGGGTCTGTTGCTGTTACTCACCCACTCAGATTCCCTGTGTTCCAGAGCAGGGTTTTGCTTTTCTCTATGGACCGTTGAAAAGCATCATTTATAGCTCAGTACAAACTGTGGTGCCAATTCGGGGGGGGGGGGGAATGGGGACGGGACATATCATGTCCCCTTCCTCCCCCCCTGGTTTTTGCACTTCCTTAAGCAGTGGTCTTGTACTAAATCAGTACTCTGCTGCAGGAGCGGTCCAGAGCATTGCAATGCCACTGAAATTTGACCCAGCCATCCCTCTGTACAGACAGAGACACAGCCAGGCCAAATTTCAGTGAGTGGCGTTGTGACCTGATGCATAGGGTTACAATGCCACTCAAACTTGGCCCAGACCGTTCTCTGTCCAGATGGAGGGCTGCCAAGCCAAATGGTTTTGCAACCTGGTGCACGGGGACTGCCAAGAACTTACTTCCTGATAGCATCGACTCATGCAATGGTGACTTGATTATGGTCTAAAAGTACCTAAGTGGGGAACCAACATTTGATAATGGGCTCTTCAGTCTAGCAGAGAAAGTATAACACGGTCCAATGGCTGGAACTTGAAGCTAGACATATTCAGACTGGAAATAAAGCGTAAATATTACCTCACGCACCTTGACACTCTAAATTTTTAACAGTGTAAGTAATTAACCATTGGAACAACCAAAGGCTGTGGTGGGTTCTCGCTCTCTGGCAATTTCTAAAATATATGCTCCAGGAATTATTTTGAGGAAGGTCTATGGGCTGTGTGACACAAGAGGTCAGACTAGATCAGTGGTTCTCAAACTTTTATACTGGTGACCCCTTTCACATAGCAAGCGTCTGAGTGTGAAACCCCTTACATATTTTTAAAAAGTGTTTTTAATTTATAACACATTATAAACGCTGGCAAAGCAGGATTTGGGGTGGAGGCTGATAGCTCGTGACCCCTCATGTAATAACCTCCTGACCCCTGGACTAAATAACCCTGTAAATAACCTCCTGACCCCTGAGAACCCCTGGACTAAATGATCCCAATGGTCCCTTCTGGGTTGGGATCTATGAAAAAGAGAGAGAGGGGAGACTCCCTGGTTGAGAGAGAGGGTCCCGGGGGGGGGGGGGGGGGTGAGAGAGAGAGGGGAGTAGAATGGGGTCCCTGATGGAGGAGGGGTGGGGACTGGAATTTGCTTAGTTTGACTTGGTGCCACTGAATACAAATAATGCAAAACTCCGAGAGCTAGAGCTGCTAACACCCAATTTGCCAGTATGGACCTTGCCCTGGCAAGGTCTATAGTTGTCCCACCTAATAGGGCTCCCACTCCTTCCCTAGGGAAACTTTCAAACCTAAGCAGTCCACATCTCCTCTTCACCCCCCAATTTGTCCTACTTCAACCTAATCACAAAGCACCTTCTTTGTGCAGAGTGGGTGGGTCTCCTCATTGTGCAAAGCTCCCAACATCTCTGGGCCATGTAAATCAGAGAGGTCATTTAGTCCATCATCATCCCCATCCCCACTCTCTCTGCTGAGGTAGGGCCAAGTAAACCTAGAGCATCCATAACAGGGGTTTTTGTCCAACCTGTCTTAACCCTCCACAGATGAGGATTCCATGGCCTCCCTAGTTAACCTCTTCCGTTGTTTAACTACCCTCATCATTAAGGCTAAGATTTTGTTACGGATATTTTTAGTAAAAGTGAGGGACAGGTCACAGGCAATAAAGAAAAGTACAGGGAAGCAGTGACCTGTCCCTCACTTTTACTAAAAAATCCGTAACAAAATGGGGATCTGCAGGTCCCCACATGGCCTGCAGCGGGGCTAGAAGCTGAGGGGGCCCCACTATGAGTTGGGTGTCAGTGCTCCAGAGTCCCCTGCTGCCTATGGCTAGGAGCTGAGGGGGCCCCCACTGTGGGTTGGATGTGGGGGCCCGCTCCCTGCAGCAGCTGGGGGCTGCGGGGTCACCCCACCACCCACAGTGGCCGGGAGCTCCAGAGTACTTCCACCGCCTGCAGCTTGGGCCCACGGTGGCCAGGAGCGGTGGGGTACCCTGCCACATCCAGGAGCTGTGGGGTATCCCCACTGTCTGCAATGGCTTGGAACTCCAGGGGACCGCCAGAGGCAGTGGGGGTAACCTGCAACTCCCTGCTCCTGCGGGAGGTGGGGAACTCTGCAGCTCCCGACCGCCACAAGCTGAAGTCATGGTTTCTGTGACTTCCAGCGACCTCCGTGATTAAATCGTAGCCTTACTCCTCATTAATAAGCTTGTGTCTAATCTAGATCTCCCTTGCTGCAGACTAGGCTGATGACTTCTTGTCCTACATTCAGTGGACATGGAGAACAATTGATCACTGTCCTTTTATAATAACCTTTCACATATTTGAAGATTTATCCGGTCCCTGCTCAGCCCTCTCCTCTTTAGACTAAACAGGAGGAAGGGTTGAAAGAATTGGCCATTAGTCATATTTTCTAAACTTCTCATTTTTGTTGAACTGCTCTGGACTCTCTCCAGTTTGTTCACAAAGTAACTCTAGCTGGAGCCTCGTTAGTCTCCAAGACCCTTTGCTTTAAGGGGCGTGTATGTCTTATGCCATGTCTGGCATTGCTGGTGTGTGCATGTCATGTACACTAGGACTGGGTGTTACGCTGCTTGGAGGCCTCTGACTATGGGTAACAGGGCCCTAAAATGACCAAGTTCTTGTTTGTTCTTGCAGGCTCCAAAGATGGGAGCATCACAGAAGTGAATGTGAGCCCCTGCCCCACACAGCCTTGCCAGCTCCAGAAAGGGATGTCCTACAGCGTCAATGTCACCTTCTCCAGCAGTAAGAGCAGAACATGCTACTTTAGGGGTTGAGCTTCTATGGGGGTGGTGGCTTCTCTGCAGCGGTGGGTGGAGATGGGAGGGCAGAAGGGGAGGTAACCACTTTTCATCCCTGAGACTTGCCTGCAGCAGTTGGAGATGTGGGGAAGGATGGCTGGGAAGTGTCCTCACAGCAGGAGAGAAATGAAGAGCATCTACTGGTGACCTCATCCTACATTGCATCCCTATGAGCTTTAGGGGACACTGCATGGGGTGGAAATGGTGCCCTGCCCTAATAGCTCTGTAGCTGTGGGCAGCTGCTCATCTCCCTCTCATCCCTTTCCCTGTCTGCAGAGATCGAGAGCCAGGGCAGCACAGCGAAGGTGTATGGGGAGATGCTCCATGTGGACATACCCTTTCCCATCCCTGAGCCTGATGGATGCAAGTGTGGGATCCAGTGCCCCATTGAGAAAGGCCATTCCTACAGCTACCTGAACAAGCTGCCTGTGAAAAGCGAGTACCCCAGTGTAAGTACCCACAAGCCAGCTCCAAGTCTCGGAGCTACCCACCCTGGTCAGGGCTCAGCCCCGCAGCATGTCTTTCAGCAAGGAGGCCCTTTTATCCTTGGGAATAGGGGGTGCATGGGAGGTCACCTGTCAGGAGTCACCTCTGCTCCATGCACTATTTTCTCCAAAACCGGTCTCCAATTCCTGATCCTATGCCAGGCCTGTCAGGGGGAGCAGCTTGGTTGTGACTGCAGGGGTTGGGGAAGGTGTGTACAGTGTTTGCAGGCCCCTTTCCGGGCAGTGTTTCCAGATAACCTCCTTCCAGAGCCTGTGACTCTGAGAGTCATGGCCCTGCACCAGCTCTTCCCTCCTAGCCCTAGTGCCTCATGGTGATGGGGAGCTTAATGAAAATTTCAGCTCAAAGGGCCAGGACTTTTCTTAACAGACACAGTGCAAGTCCCTCTATCACCACAGTAGGGTCAGTATTGACTTGGAGGGTGGAGTGCTAATCCTTAGAGATCTTCCAGCCAACCCTGCTTAGCATGCAAGATGTTCTGGGTGTACAGCGTAGCTGGAATTAGCCTGCTGCAGCTCACCTGGCTCCCAGTCTGCTTCCAGAGGTGCAGTTTCTCCCATAATTGGGGGCAGAGGGGTGGGTTTTCTCCTTCCCCACCCCACAAAGAAACTTAGGCTGCCTCCATGCCTGAGGACCAGCAACTCCCTGCACACTCTCACATCCTTTATCTCTTCCAGATTAAACTGATCGTCAAGTGGGAGCTGATTGATGACCAAAATGAGATGTTGTTCTGCTGGAAGATACCTGTCCAGATCACCAGCTAAGGAGCCCTGCTTGCCGCTTTGGGGGAGGGGAGAGTAGAAGTGAAAACATAGATCAGACTTTTCTTATATAATGGGCATTTCCTGGCATCTGCTTCAAAATTCTGCAGCCTCTAAGCAGCCGGCACTGTGTTGTCCCAAAGCTGAGGTACAGTTGCTGCAGGGGCATCAATAGGCAGAGGGCTCAACTCCCTGCAACTTAAGAGGGGGCAGAGTCTGGCAGCCATTGGTGGCAGTGGCTGAGCAGCACATTGCTGGAGTTCTGCCATGGTTTCTGTCCCTTGAAATGAGCCTCTCTCTCTCTAATGCAATGGGGCTGGTGTCAGCTGCTGCCTGTTAACCCTTGAGTGCCTGTCCTGATAGAATGCTGCTGCATCCCTCTGCTTTTCTCCTGCTCAGTCATGACCAGAGCATTCCTGCGACCTGCATCTGCCATCCAGAGCCAATGGAGGGTGAAGAGAGGGGACTGGCCCTGCCACTTGTCTTCCATGAGCACTGGTGTTTCCTTGGCCCAGCAGTGGCCAGCGGCTCTACAGCTGGGAGAATGCTTCCTCTGTGCAGGCGCAAACCCAAACCTCATGCAGCATCTCTGCAGGGATGACTCTTACTAACCAGTGATTTGCACTGTCTATTAATTCACATGGAGCTGCTGCTGGGGGCTCTTTACCCCTAACCTCTTTTTATAACTTTCCTTTTTAATAAAGGCTCAATAAAAACTACCACCTGCCTGTTTTACTTTGTCTGATGGGGTGGCCAGTGTAAGGTATCATCTTCAAGCTGGGGCCAGAGATGCCACTATTATTATGCGAGAGGAGTGGATGACGGCCCAGCTGAGGATGCAGCCAGTCCCTGCACTGTGCTGGTATGAGGAAGCAGCTTGATGCCACAGCCCACTGCCAGGCTGGACATATGATCTCCCCTCAGTTATAGGAAAGGAAAAACATAGTAGGAGTTAAGGCTACTCACCAGCTAGTAGTAAAATGTCCCTTCAGGGCTGTGTACCCTAAATTTAAAAGGGCCACCTCCCCCTAAAGAGAGAGTCTGGGCAAACGTTGCCAGAAGACAGTGGCCCTCTAACTGGGGAATTAAAGGAAGGTGCTCCTGCTGCACTGTGTGCATCACCATGTATGGACTCTTCTTCCCAGGATCTGAGTGGTCAGGCTAGGCAGAGATGAGGCAGGGATAGTCCTGACCAACCGCAGTGTTTAAGCCACAGGGTCCAAAATAAACGTTTTATTTAACAATGACAGATGTTCCCTAGCAGATTCCATTAGGAAAAGCCACCAACAGCTTTACAAAGTTGGAACCCCATCCCCCTGCTAGGCAATCGTACAAAGTGCAGGGGTGAAGTCTTGTGCCCAGGGAGAGCAGGGTCCCCAGGCCTTTCAAACCTGCTGGGCTCCACGTCCAAGCCACCGTCAGAGGACAGGCAGCATCTGTACAAAGCTGGAGCTGGCCCTCCTCACACTCAAGCTCCCAGGCCTGGGGGTTCATGCACCAGGCTGTGCCTTGGGGCAGGGCAAAGACACCAGCAAAAGCAATGAGGGGTAACACTGGCAACTATGAAGGCTCTGGACTATGGGTGGGAGTGGGGTGAATTGTCCTGTGAGCCCTCAAACAGGATAGCATGATGAATTGCTATCAACTCCTCTGCCAGGCACTGGGGAAGGGCTGAGGCTTCTCACCACTCTCCGCTATTTACACCGGTTACTGAGGAGCTGGGGGAAGGTGCTGCCCTTCTGCAGCTTCAGCTGCTAGAGTTCCTTTCTTAAGGCCTGTTTAGCCATTTCAATAATGGTGAGTCTCACAGGTCTGCAGTGCAGGGAGTAGGGGGGCTCTGTGGGTTGGTCGGGGAGAGGAGTGGGGGGCCTTGTGGGTCCATGTTGTGGCAGAAGCAGGAGGTTGGTGATGAGCAGACCAGGCAGGGAGGTGGCTGCAGATGCTTGGCGCTCTCTACCCTGGACTGTGTCCCTATGGGCTCAGCCAGGCGCGGTATGGCAAGAAGGTTGTGCGCTTTGGGGGATGAGCAAAGGGCATCAAAGCTACTGCAGTCCCAGGGGGCCTCTCTCCAGCCGATGGATCCCAGGTACCAGCAGAGTGTCTGAGGGGGGCCACCCTTGCCCCGTCAGTCCCCTAAAGCTGTGCTGCCTCTGGGCTCTGGGTCGGTGCAGGAGCACAGCGGTGGGGCTCAGCCTGCACCACAAAGCCAGGCGAGCAGTTGCAGCGATAGGAGCCCTCTGTATTTTCACAGGTGCCGGCCTCACACAGGGGCCCAGGGCCGCTCACCACCTCACACTCGTTAATGTCTGAAAGGAGAGGGATGAGAAAAAAGCCTGAAAGCCATGTTCTGTAGCACAGCACCCCCACTGCACAGTATACCTCCAAATCCAGCAACTCCATGCCCCCACAGCACACCCAGCTCCCCCACACCTAACACCCCCACTGCAAGGAGCCCTCCAAGCCTCCCACACCCAGCACCCCCATGCCACACCCAATTCCCCATTCCCAGCAGCCCCCAAGCCACACAAAGCTGCCCCAAACCCAGCACCCCCACATTGCAAAGCAATCCCGTGACCCCATGCTGTAGTGTTCCCTCATGCCCAGCAACCTCACAGTGCATAGGGCTCTCGTACACTGAACAAAGCATCCCATGATATAAACTGCCCCCCATACAGATCATCCCAAGAAGAATGCTTTGTGCTCCCTCTCAAGAATGAGATGAGCTAAACAACAAGATTTGGGGGAAAGGGTGATTTTGGTGTTGCAAAATTCCTCTAGCTGATTTGGCAAGGTTGCCGGGAAACAGACAAGGGCATCTCTGGGGTGGCCCTGAAAGGGGCCAATTATCACCTCAGGGACCAAAACACAGGCAAGGAACCTTGCAGTGAGCAAACAAATGAGCATTTTATTAACCTTACAGCTGTTCCAGAGTGCTGATGGAGGCCTTTTGTCTAGACCAGCGTTTCTGGGGCAGGAGAGTTAGTGTGGTGGAGGCCCAAGAGCCACTGGCTTTTAAACACCATGTTGATTAGACCTGCTGCGAGCACTGCTATGTGACAGGTGGCCAAAGCACCTGTACCAGGTCTGTACCAGTGCTCTGTGCGCTAGCACCATAGGGAGCCTGCCCAGACTGACGAGAGCGCACACACCTCCAACCCATTCTGCCCTCACTGTGTTTCCTAGATCCCTTCTCCTTCTCCACTTTTCATTTTCCTGTGTTTCTCCCCACAGCTCCCACACACACAGAGTGAGCAGGGTTCCCCCTCATTCCCCACAGCACCCCCACCTCCAGGACTGAGGAGGCAGGGTTCTCCCTCATTACCCACATCTGCCCCCCATACTGAGTGAGTGTGGCTCCCCCTTGTTCCCCACAATGCTCCCCCATACTGCGTGAGCAGCGGTCCCCCTTCCCATGACAGACCCAGGCCTTGTGTGAATCTCCCCTCAGCCTCAGTCAGGCTGTATAACCCAGCCACACGGGCCAGGAAAGTGGCTGATGCCCTGATTACAGTGACAGCCCTGGGTGCTGAGGAAAGGGGTCCCTACTGGTCGGACCCTAGTTCTCTTCCCTGCAGTTCTGTGATGGGAACGTAGTCGGAGTTGGGGTGGGGAGTGGTTTCACAAGGCCTGCTCCTATGGAGCTCCAGTGACAACTGCCATCCCCTGGCAGTGACCCTAGGGGGAAGCAGCAGGTCAGGAATGGCTGAGGGCTGCATGTGCTGAGCTCCACAGCTGAAGCGACTGGGAGCTGCAGAGTCCAGCCAGCACTCCTCAAAACCAGTATCTTAGCACCTGTGGGAGCCCAGCTGCGGGGGTGCAGGGCAGCTAGACCACCCCCTACCCTCTGTGGGGCCATTTCTCTCACTGTTTGGGGCCACTCACCTACACAGGCCATGTGGGTCATGTCCAGCTGGAAGCCGTCAAAGCAGTCGCAGGTGTAGCCCTCCCGCACGCGCACGCAGCGCCCGTTCTCGCAGCCGTTCAGAATGCCACACTCCTCTGCCTGGAGTCCCTCAAAGCTGTCAAAGTGCCCTGTGGATACAGAGGGGCCATCAGCCTGCAGGGAACACACTGCGGGAGGGGGAGGGGAGGCTGTCTGCCCATAGGGGAACAGAAGACCATCAGTCTGGCAGTTTGGTCACATAAAGGGGCCAGGGGCAGCAGATATGGATATTGGTCTGGATACGCAGATGGGGCCCCAACCAGGCTGGCTTTAGGAGAAGCGGGGGGGGGGGGTTACTTTCTGGGCACAGCCTGAACCTAGAGGAAGCCGCCAGGACATCTCTTGGTCTTCTTCAGTACTCACCAGTTTGGCTGGGCAGGTAGCGGGGCTGGGCGTGCTCTGGGTGGAGCTGAGGAGTGCGTAGGAATGTGCTGCCACCAACCTCGCTGCTCAGTTCTCTCTGGGCGAAGCTGGCATCAGGGGCTCCATACTCAGAACTCAGGTAATTGTAATAGGGCCCTAAGTCTGGGCTATAGAGTCCATAATGAGAGTCTTCTAGGCCTGGTCCATACTCGTATCCAGGCCTTTCTTGGAGTCCAGCCTCCCTTTCAGTCTCTCCCCAGGCCACGTTACACAGGTGAGCAAAATCCTCTGGAGGTGGAGAGAGAGGGAAGGAGCAGCCTAGCACCATGGCACGAAGGAGGGTAAGCCTGACTGTCTAAGGATGAGCTAAGTGGGGGGTTGCATCAGGGATGGACTCAGGCGGGGCAAAGAAAGGCCAAGCCCAGGAAGAGCAAAGGCCAGGCAAGGGCCAGGCAGAGCTAGGGCACCTATAAGCAATGGGAAAAGGCTCTGAAGCTGTACTTCTGTGTCCAACTCTTGTAGGAGGAGGCTTCCCCCTTGGGTCCCAGGGTCCTTATGGGATTTGCAAGGTGTGGAACCCACACTCCAAGCCATGACTAAGGGGGCTGGATACCTGCCAGAAAGAGTCTGAGTCTGTGTCAGATCTAACCAGCTAAGCAGGATTTGGCCTTGTACACTCTTGGAGGAGAACCCCTCCTGCTCCGGAACACCTAACTGCTGCCGGGAACAGTGAGGGTGACCGAGTAGTGGAGTCTCCCCTCGGAGTCGGTACTAACTCCAATCCCTCAGCGCAGTACTAGGGGTGCTGTGCCATTAAGTGCCCTCATTCAGATACCATCAAGCAAAGGACTCACATGCTACCTCAGCCAGAGGGAACTCCCCTAGGAGTGACAGGAGAATTCATTCCCTGTGGCCCATTCAGGCCTGGGCTGCTAATAAGGGGGCATTTGATAACACATTGTGGGTCTGGTTTCTGGGAGGTGGACACCTGCTCACTGGGACCTGCTGGGAGAGCCCTCTCTCCATTCATCCACAGCCCACAATGACCTTTCACTCACTGCTGACCGTTGCAGGGTCTGACTAGCAGGAGCCAAGAGGCCAAAGGCTCCACAGTCCCTGAGCAAGCCTGTCCTCCTCCCCCGATTCTCACCAGAGGCCCTGTGGGGGCAGAGTGCACAGTCCTGGCTCCAGGCCTCGCCATAGCGGCAGCAGCACTCGGTGTACGTGGTCCGTCGCCCCCGCAGTGGCTGGTTGCAGATGTAGTTGGAGACTCTCTGCCAACAGATGTCCAGGTGGATTTCATGTTCATCCAGGTCTTCTGTTAGTGAGATGGGCAAAGAATGCCATGGGGACATCCCCTAGGTCTCCTGGGATCCCTTAGGAAGGCGCCGTGCCCAGTGTCCTGCTCCCAGA